CATGTTCAATGGGCACCCAGCTGTGAAGCCGCAAGCTGTCACAGCCGGGTGCCCATACTGAAGATGGCGGCGCCGGGGAGAGAAAACGGCCAGTGAAACCAGCCGTGGTGAGGACACCACTGGACCAAGGGACAAGTAAGTGTCTGTAATTTAAAAGACAATAGCTACAGTTTTTTTTTAGCTGCTGACTTTTATTTATTTTTTTCAATTGGAACTCCGCTTTAAGTATTTGCACATTATTAACAAGCAGTAAAGACACTTTAAAACAAACAAACTTAAAGTGATGACTTGTTTTGAAGCCCATTTACTGCTTGTTGGTAAAATAAGCTGGGCATTTTGGATATAATGTGGACTGGTTGGAATCCCTTCTGTTTATATACGATGAGTTTTCCTGTGTGGTTACCAGGACAGAAAGAAAGGAAAAATTAGTGGCCATGCTTGTCAATAAAAGCACTTTATACTTCAGGGCAGGGGTCTTCAAACTTTTTAAACAGGGGGCCAGTTCACTGTCCCTCAGACCGTTGGAGGGCCGGACTATAGTTTAAAAAAAACAAACTATGAACAAATGCGGACACAATACAGGAGATGACCAAAGACTGCGGACATACAACGGCGGCGGGAATACTGGGCCAGCGGCTCCATAAGATGCACAGGCATTTCCCCCAAGTGTATCTTATGGAGCGAAATAGTGCCCCATCATTGGTGTCAGTGGGAGGAATAGTTCCCCTTCATTGGTGTCAGTGGGAAGAATCGTGCCCCATCATTGGTGTCAGTGGGGGGAGGAATAGTGCCCCATTGTTGGTGTCAGTGTGGGGGGGGGAATAGTGCCCCGTCATTGGTGTCAGTGGGGGAAGGGGATAGTGTCCCATCATTGGTGTCAGTGGGAGGAGTAGTGCCCCATCATTGGTGTCAGTGGGAAGAATAGTGCCCCATCTTTGGTGTCAGTGGGAGGAATAGTACGTCATTGGTGTCAGTGGGGGGGAATAGTGCCCCGTCATTGGTGTCAGTGAGGGGGGATAGTGTCCCAACATTGGTGTCAGTGGGAGGAATAGTACCCCATCATTGGTGTCAGTGGGGGAAAGAATAGTGTTCCATCGCTGGTGTCAGTGGGTGGTGGAATAGTGCCCCATCGTTGGTGTCAGTGGGGGGGAGGAATAGTGCCCCATCGTTGGTGTCAGTGGGGGGGGAGGAATAGTGCCCCATCGTTGGTGTCAGTGGGGGGAGGAATAGTGCCCCATCATTGGTGTCAGTGGGAGGAATAATGCCCCATCATTAGTATCAGTGACACCAATGATGGGGCACTATTCCTCCCACTGACACCAATGACACTTAACTTGCAGCAGCACCATCTGCACAGCACAATTACCTGTCAGCTGTCCTTTTTCACTCCGGCCTCTCCCTCACTCGATGTTCGTGGGGGCCGCTCGGCTCTGCCTCCTCGCAGGTGATTGGCAGTCTGTGTGCCTTTCCTGAGCTACAGTGCTGGCACCCAATCACCGGTGAGGAGGCGGAGCTGAGCGGCAGCATGAACATCAAGTGAGGGAGAGGCCGGAGTGAAGGACAGCTGACAGGTAAGATAAAGCAGCCCCCTGCCCGCCCCTGTACTTAGTGTCCCTTCCTTGCGGCAAATACGCCCCTGCCGGTGGGCCGGATAAATGTCCCCGGCGGGCCGTGTGTAGTTTGAGGACCCCTGCTTCAGGAATCCTAGTGATGGATGGCAAAGAAGAACAATAGACTGTGTTAATATTCACTTATCAAAATCATGTGAAAAGTAAATTTGTGTTTACTTCTTTCATTTGCACACAACTGGACAACTGACGTTAATATTTGCAGAATCTGTGAGGCTGATTTACTAAAAGGAGTTGAGACTCATCACACAATTTGTGTGAATATTCAGTTTAGTTATTCAATCATTTACAGATAAAATAAATCACTAAACAGGATTTGATTTTCACGGTTAGATTATTGAAGTGAATCTTCACACAATTTATTGTGTAATCATTCTCAACACATTTTGTATATCAGCCCAAGAGAGTCCATGCTGACCCATTATATGTATTGTGTTTTTTTTCATCCCTTTGTTAGGTAACATAAAAACTTGCAGAATTGATCTTCCTGAGGCTTCTGAACTTGAGTAATCTGAACAGAGCACATGCACAGGCAAAATATTTGCAGGCATTAAGAACAGAAGTTTCTAAAACAGCCTTTTTCAACCAGGGTGCCTTGACGTTTATTCTGGGGGTGCCTTGGCAAAATGCCTAAAAATTGCCCAAAAGTCAAAGGTGGATCAAGCCTGCCTTTTAGATACACAAAGCCACAGGTTTTCATTGTGCACCATTACGGCCTTCTAGCTGCCATCATCACATCACAACCAATGACATCTTGAGTTGATAAGAAGGATGTTTGTTGTCTGCACAGCATTCTTGGTTGATCCTCCCCTGCCTCTCTCCATCAGGGGTCACATTAGCTGAGTGAGAGAAAAACGGAGGGAGAGGAGAAACACTGGAATCCTAATCAGTTCCAGTGTTCAAAAGTGCATTTAAATTTGGAAGAATAAATTATCTTTAATGTTGGGTGTCCTACATGTGTGGATGTTGATGCATTATGTAAAACTATTAGAATATTTTTTTACATTTTAAAATGGGGTGCCTCAAAACTGTCCATAATTTTAGAGAGTGCTTTGAGATAAACACTCTCTAGAATTCTTCCTATTCACAAAAGCTCCATGCAGAAGTCTTTGGAAGTCTATCCAAGGACAAAACCGAAATTTGGAAGCTGCAGATATGCATCATAAGCCATTTCCTCACCACAGATGCAGTGGTATATCATCTCTGTACTATATCTCAAGGAAGCAAAAGTATGCTCCTGGCTGCAGGGATACAGTATATTGGTATAAGACTGTCATATCAATTACATATAATAGACCTACCGTATTTTTCGCTCCATAAGACGCACTTTTTTCCCCCCAAAAAAGGGGGGAAAATGTCAGTGCGTCTTATGGAGCGAATATGGAGCGGCCGGTCCGGTATTTCCACTGCCGTGTCAGAATACCGGGCCGGCCGCTGAGCTCTGCAGTGGGGCCTTACCTGTTCCTCTATCCAGCGGCGCGCTGTCTTCCCGGCTTCTGTAGTGTGCGTGACAGCCGGGTCCCAAAAAGCGGAGCTCTTTGTGAATGGTAAGGCGGTACCTGGGACACATGACAGATCCCAGAAGCCGCCGGACCAATCACAAAGCGCAGCGCTTCTCGCACATGCGCACTGGGCATCCGGCTGTCCGCCGAGCGCCCACACTACAGAAGCCGGGTAGACAGCGTGCGGCTGGATAAAGGAACAGGTAAGATCAAAGAACAACTCCGCGGAAGTAAGAGCGGGTACCTGTCAAATTCAGGTACCCGCTCCCCCTCCCTCCCCAAAGGTCAGCAGTCATCTCCTGTACTGTCCGCAGTCTCTGGTCATCTCCTGTACTATGTCTGCAGGCCATTAGTTCATCATTTTTTTTTTCCTGTTTTCTGCCTCTAAAACCTAGGTGCGTCTTATGGTCAGGTGCGTCTTATGGAGCGAAAAATACGGTATTTTATTTACACTGAGTGTAGAGAACTATGGAGCCTTGAAAAGGTCTGCTGTTATTGGGATAAAACCGTAAATGTGGCATAGGGTGCGGAACTTTTGCACAAAAAAAAAAAAAAAAAAAAGCAAACACAAAACCTGAAGGTTGATTTAATAAAACTGAAGAGTACAAATTCTGGTGCAGCTGTGCATGGTAGTCAATCATCTTCTAACTTTAGTTTGTTCAATTAACCACTTGCCCTCCAGGGGATTTACCCCCCTTCCTGACCAGGCCATTTTTTGCGTTATGGCGTTGCGTTATTTTAACTGACAAATGCGCGGTCATGCAACGCTGCACCCAAATTAAATTCACCTCCTTTTTTCCCACGAATTGAGCTTTCTTTTGGTTGTATTAGATGGCCTGTGCGTGTTTTTATTTTTTGCGCTATAAAAAAAGACAAACAATTTTGAGTAAAAAAACTATATTTTTTACTTTTTGCTATTAAACATGTCCAGTAAAAAATAAAATTTTGTCACATTTAGGCCAAAATGTGTTCTGCTAAATGTCTTTGCTAAAAAAAAAAATCTCAATACGTGTAAATTAATTTGGTTTACGTGAGAGTTATAGCGTTTACAAATGGTGGTATATATAGTGGGATTTTATTTTTTTTTTAAATTTTACTAGTAATGGTGGCGATCAGTGACTTATAGCGGGACTGCGGCGGGCATTCTGACACTGTACTAATCGCACTGGGCAGGAAGGGGTTAACATGTAAGGTGATCAAAGGGTTAACTGTGTGCTGTTTTACTAAGGGCTGTGTGTTAGTGCTTCACTGTAAGCACACTGCTTTGCATGGCTGTGCTGTGGGACCCGATGATTGACAGCCAAAGCCACGAATGGCAGCGCAGATAGGGTGCACGCCCCCTACCCGGAAATGCAAAATAACGTATTATATATACGTGATTTTGCACACCCGTGCTGGCCTGTAGCAGTATATCTGCTATAGGGCGGACGGGAAGCAGTTAAGTTTTTCCAATAAAACCTGGAAGCCGATTGGTTTCTATGCAGAGCTGCACCAGATTTTTCACACTCCGCTTTTAGTAAATCAACCCAATAATCTGTTGGATGCATGCAAAACAGAGTCACATATTTGTCACCAATACTTTATTATACATGGTAACTTGCACAGTTTAAAACAGACCAGCAAAAATAATGTATAAGATATTTACAACCTTGCAATTGCTACCTAACTGTACACAAGGCAAAGTGATCATAATAACACAATCGGCAGAATAATTGTGCACAAAAGACAATATTTAGTAGACATATTACAGGAACAGAACAGTGAATGACATCACAAGTCCAGTGAAAATAAGAATTTTACAAAACATATCAATTTACTGCAAACAACACCCTTTATTACATTAAGCATCAAATTTAATTTCAGTAGTAACTTAGCTGGAATCTGAAGTACAGATTTCTTGAGCAACTATAAGTCTTTTCAGAGTGGCAACCTCAGCAGATAAATTTGCAATACCTCGTTTTAAATACAAGCTTTCTGGCTCAGAAGCCTTGTAAACATTGTCTGTCATACCGACAATTCCAGCAGTTTTGCAAATATCTGGGATTTTATCAAGTTCCTTATGGTGCCACTGTCCTGATTTAATAGGCCAGTCTGGCATATTAGTCACTTGAACTGATAAAGGGGACAAAGATGTATGTACCACATTTTCACCATTATGGTTTTCGAGTGGAAAGTGCTTTTTTGAGGACATGTCAATTGGCAAGGGCAGTTTTTGTGTGGCAGCAAGCTCATTCTCCAGTGTTTCCGCTTTGACCTGCATAGCTTTAGTCTTAATTCGCAGTTTGTGTGGCAGTGCAGAGGAATTCACTTCAGGAACTTTTATAACTGTTGTATGACCATTTTTTAGTTCAACAGGGGAATGAATTGGACCTTTAGGAACCTGCTGCTCATCCTCCCCATCAGAAGTTTTTCCCACCACACCCTCATCAGTCTCTGATGTCCTTGGAGAGTTACTGGAGGAACTGTTGATTTGCAGTAGAGGAGGAGAATGGGAATAACTAGGAAATGTGCTTCTAATAAAGTTCTGATAAATAGATGGGGTGTAGGAAGGGTTTTCCTCTCTAGATTCCCGAGGAAAAGTCTCTATCTCTAAGGGTTCCTGCTTTATCCTTTGGAACTTCATTTCTGGCGTTCTGCAGCTGTTGTGAAAGGGGTTTGGTTGAATATGATCTCCAGATGATGTCTCAGATGCATCTGACAGAGAACTCTGAGGGGAGTGCTTGATTACAGAAATGCAGCTACTGGTCATGAGAGGGTGTTCGTGTTCATGATCTCCTGAGAAAGATCGTACATTGGATTTGGCAGTTGCGTACTCCTGAAAATATACAGCTGTGCCACTTGTAACCTTTTGTATCTCTTGAGCATATGATGCAGAACTTATTAAACCAAACTTAAGTTTTAAAGACAGCAGTTCAGTTTTCAGGTTAGCATTCTCCTCTCCCAGTGCAAGAAGTTTATTTTCTAAAACCATGTCATTCAGCCTGCGTTTCTCTCGTGATCTTTTAGCAGCCTCGTTGTTTTTCCTTCTCTTCTCCCAATACATAGCATCTTTCTTTTCATCAGGAATGAATTCCCTTTTTCTGCGACATGATGCTGACTTGTTTTTTCCAACACCTTCATTGTACAACATATCATTACTAGAGTCCATTGATTCAGATATATCTGCCATATTAGAATTTAACACAAGGATGTTCTCCATACCACTTCTTGTATCTGTGCATTCCTCTTTTTTAATGGTTGGCATTTTCCTTAGCTGCATTAGCACCAGTTGGAGTCAGTCACCATTCACAGTTGCTGGAGAGAAGAATTCCACAGCATTTGTTATAGTAAATCAACATGAAGACACCAGTTATACAAAATTCCATCTGCTATCGATATTTCTTTCCAGGTGCTGAAGTTGTTCATATATAGCCATTTTCTCTAAATGATCCATATAGGCATTGTTGCCTGCAAAAAAAAACAAAAAAACAACACTTTAAATATTAACCAATGACATAAAAGATCAAATGAATGTACAATAACTCAACCTATATGTGAGGGTTTTGGAAAGTCTGTCTATGAGTTGTCTAAAAGTCCCTCTTGCGAAGAAGAAGTTATGATACCACTAGAGAAGTTGGTTTGCTAGTACGACCACAAGTTCATACACTTCTGCATTTTCACAGACCATAATATACAAGTCCTATTTGCGGTTCATATGGAACAGTAATCAGGTGCAGTAATCTTGTTATAAACTTAGATATATTTAACCCTGACATACTACGCACATGCTCGCAACATTGCATGTCTCATTTGAAATCATGCAATAAAAAGAAAGAATTGAGACCGAGTAGAATAATTGGTACTTGAAATTCAGAGAGAAGTAGAAAAAGTGGACTTTTGTGGGAAAAAACACACTTCATGAAAACAAAACACTACAAATCATACTTTAATATCTCTCTGCATAGAAATGTTCTCTCTAGTAATAGGATGGTTCTATTTATGGCACATAAATCAATAAACCAGCAGCACAAGGGTATTACTGGCTTTATACATGAAATGCAGGAAGTTTTAAAATCTAATTGTGTTATGGCTGTCCTTTAACACGGACTACCTTTACTACTATATTTAGTAACTTGGGATTAGCACAGTTCACGGATCAAGGTCAAAGGTAAGAATGGATGGAAATACAGGTGGGTGTCAAACAACAACTGACAGTACGTGTGCAGAGTCAGGTAGCTTTCATTTTACACAACACTGTCAGCAAACATAACTCTTGTTAAAAATCCTCAACTCAAGTTATCTGCTATCAGTCTTTATTATTCAGATTAACTGCTATTAGAATCTTCAGTGTTCACTGATGAATACATTATTTCACACGCACAGCCTTTCTGTGTACTGTTCTATCTGCAGCTATTAAAAACTTTCATCATCTCATTTAATTTACACCTTCACTGGTGTGGCAATGTTAGCAATATGTTAGGCATTACAAGCTAGTGCAAATTCAGGAAACCAAATGATTTTAATTACATGACGGACTGGAATCTACAATCTGAAAATGAATTCAATTGCCCATAGCAGCCAATCAGACTTCAGTTTACATCAGTTTAGCACAGTCAACAAATTGTACGATGATTTCTGAATAGTGTCTTTGCATATTAGCTTTTGCTTCATTAAATAAAACCTGCCAACATACTGAGAATTACAGTTGGCTTATTGCTCAGATTATCCTTAAGGAAAAACAAAAGAGTGATTTCTAGCTCTGGAAAACTGAGTTTAGGTGATTCATGTCTGATAACGATATTGCTGCTAATTAAAAATAACAAACGGCGATCATGTGACTTCCTTGCACAGGCAATTCATACCACAAAAGATTAGCCAGTATGTGAAATGGATGGCTTGCCGACTATGACTCTGCTTGGCAGAAAAATGATGCTTCTGCTTTTTGTGACTTACAATGGTTTGTTAGATTTTCAGTGAATCGAAAATAGTAAAAGAACAACTGTTCACATGAACATTTTCAGCCAGCTAATGCTCACTGTGTTTTCTGCCAAGGTACACAAAGGCAGCCAACAAGGTTAGCTCTTCACTCATTTACAACAGCTCATTAATCTAATTTTATCTCTCTCCATAGTATAAAAACACTCAAAGAGTAAAAAAAACTATTTGAAAAGATAAAGTCAAGAGGCAAATTGAATGCAATGTACAAGCCATCTTTAGCATAAGAGCAAAGAAATTTACTTTATTTATGTTAATGTTTGACACAGTTTTATCCTGCCATAGATCTGATGATCCTGTGTTGTAAATATCAATGATTTGTTTACTTGTCCAATCCACTCTCACCATAACATGACATAATATCCAACTGACAGCATACACATCCTCAGATATTGGACCACATCTATACTGTATATAAAAGATCAAGTGGGGATCAATGCTGGTATTTCAGTTTGATGTGAACATATTTAATTTATTTACAACAGTTACCAATGCTAATAGTGACCTGTGTATTGCACTAAATTGAGTTTCTAATTGCAACATACATCAGGGATGTTGAATTCCTATCGCCCAATGCCTAGGACATGCATATCCGGGCGCCAGACAAGAAGTTTTTTTATACATTTAGCCCTGCTGCAGGCAAGCAGCAGGGTTTAGAGCCAACAGTCGGATCTTGTAAAAGCGTTCCAAGCGGCTCCAGAGAAGTGGGGAGCTGTCCCCTCCTGCTGCCTTCTGCAGGTTGTCTGGACGTCTTTACATTGTATTTTATTTACATTTTATATTTTTGTGGGTAATATCTGATTATTATGTGCAGATTATTATATGTTTTTTATTTAACTTATTTTATTTTTTTTTTTATTAGATTTTTATTTACATTTTTAATTTTTGTTATAATTCAGTTATCTGCAGCCTTGTACTGTCCGAGTCCCATCCACTGGGAAAGGAGACAGAGCCTGTCCAATCCAGGACACCCGAACAACCAAGCAGTGCTTCTGCTGGCTGATCATAGAGGTGGACAAAGACCAGCACCACTCTGTCCGTCTCTAGGATATAGGAAACAGGAAGCGATGAGCATACATCACTTTGCTGGATGGAAACGGCACCATTTTTAAAAATGGAAAGCATTTGACACACCAATCTGTGACCAAATGCTTTTCAGGGCAGAGGAGGGATATGGGATCTTACTGAAAATTTTCCAGCGAAAAATAAAAAACAAGTTTAAGTTGCCATACAGCGCCTTTCATTTTTAAAAGTCCTAGATATTTCTAAAAGCACCTGCCTAAAAAAAAAAAAATGTAAAAATTAAAAAATAATATCAACCTTTTGTATTTTACATTCTGATAATTGTTTTTTTTTTTTATCAAGACAAGTAGATTGTATTGAGGGACAAGTAGATTGGGACCTCGATTAAGTCCCTTGGACAAGTAGTTTTTGTTTTTTTTAATTTCCACCCCTGATGCATGTTTACCCACATCTGTAATTTACTAAGTCATCATATCTATGAAAACATATTATAAAGCTTAATTTGCTATATTTATTTGTAGCAAATTACCACACGTGTGAAATTAGGCATTACTGGGGTAAATTGGTTTCTTTTTACCATTAATGCCCTCCCACATAAAATGAAATTCAGTTATGTTAAAAAAAAGAAAAATTATTTATCCTTAATGCCTCAACCTCACATCAAAAAGAGTCCAGTTAAGTTAAAAATGTAAATAAATCTAGAAAAATTTAAACAATGATCATGTAAAAAGAAAAAAAAAAAAAAAAAGAAGCATTCCAATAATTGTGCTGCAAAATAAAACCCAAATATAACCACTAGGCACACAAACAGGTGCTGAATCTTTCCCAACAGACACCATGCCCACTGATTAACTAGTTTGGAATGTGGCATGGTGCCTCATTTGTATTTTAAGCGGACAACTGCCAGACTATGTCACATGTATTTCCAGCAATGAAAGATAATGTATTCTAAATATATATATATATATATATATATATATATATATATACACACACACACCTATGTTTGTAGTTTTGTAACAATGCCATGTCTTCTATAATATCCAGATAGGCTATAGCTAGTTTACTTTAAGTGGCTATTCCCCTTTTTTTTCTTAAATAACAGACACGTCTATACTTACCTGCTCTGTGCAGGGATTTTGCACAGAGCAGCCCCGTTCCTCTTCTTTTCGGGTCTCCGATAATGCTCCTGGCTCCTCCCCGTTAAGCAGTGCCCCAGGGAATGCCGATTGCCCTGAATGCAGCACTGTGTGCACATCCCCAAGCTGCTGCTCTATCTGTTCAGCAGCATAGAGCCGTGCCCCCCCCATTCTCCGCTCTCTTCACATTGTCTCACTGGCTGTGATCATGGGTTCCCGCAGCTGTCTCGGCCAATAAAGAGGAAGAGTCCCCAGAAAGCAGAGGCTGTGGAACTTTGCTGGATCAGAGGGGGGTCAGGTAAGGTAAGATAAAAAAGGTAAGAGGGATGGGGGGGGGACCGCTGCACCAGAAGGTTTTTTTACCTTCATGCATAGAATACATGAAGATAAAAAACCTTGAGCCTTTAGAACCACTTTAACCTACATGTGGTAGCTATTGAGCCTGTGTACATAGAGATCATGCAACCCGGAGGCTTTAACTAAACCCATAAAAGGTCATCAGAATACAATGGTGCAGCAGGGGAGCTCCCTGCATCCACAATTTGTCCTGAAAAAAACAAGGTATAATCCACCTGGATACACTAGGTAGTTGTGATGATATGGGCAGTTTTGCTTATGCATGTCAAAGTTGCAAAATTGGGTTTGGGCATTAAGGTTCGTTTTTACCTTGGTCATGAAGGGGTTAAGGAACACAGGTCCTACCCCTTTGTAGTTTTGGCTTTCTAGTGGAAGGTCAGAAATTCATTGTATTTTTTTGTTGTCAGTGTCCAAATAATCCTGTCTAAAAAAAAAAAAATGCTAACAGGTAGATGTTTATGCCAGAATGGTGCTATTGGTTACAACTGCTTCTTCCTGCCTGGCAGTATTGATGTACACTGAGCTGTGGCCCAGCAAATCAAGCGCCAGA